AGTTTCTTTCACCATGAAAACCTGTAAGTCTGAAATGTGTAGACTTAATCACAGAGAAATTTGGGGGTATTCAATTTAAACAAGCAAAAACTTCTTGTCCAAAATTTGTTTTAGGCTGTCCTCAGGACAGGTGCTAAAATGAGAAACCGGTCATATGTGTATAGCATTTGGTATCAAAGTTTTCTGAAAGGCTAGTTTCCAATAAACATTGAAAATATTTGCTAAATCCCCCCTCCCCCCAAAACAATCGGCACCTCAAAAACAAGTAATTAATGATAATAATGATATGAACAGTTCTTATAAAGTGCATAATACTATCAAGTGCACCGAAAGTCATTCTTAATGAAATTCTTCATAAACTGTCACAGCTCCCTCAGGGTGAGTACACATGCAAAGCTAGTTGGTGCCATTTCAGGTACTAATAACCATCTCTGCCCTAACACCTACCCATTTAAAATGTGTACTCCTGGGTGGAGAGAGGAGAGGCAAGTAGGGGTACCGGTAAGTGACTTGTTCAAGGTTAGAACGTATACCCAGGAGAGGATTCTAACCAGTGACCCTTTGTTTGGGACTTGCAAACCCCGATCCCCAGGCTGTGGTTTCACACACTTACATGTACATGTGTACGGGTATATCTTTACTTATCTGTGATGAATACCCAGTCCACGCATTACATGTACATGTACATCTACAGACGGGGGAAAAGCAATGACTCTTCTACATCAAGAATTCACATGCCATTCCATCAGTAAAATCAACGACTGGGTGGCTCCTCAGAGCTTTCCAACATAGGCCGTGTCCAAAACGGGCTTCCAGAGCTACGGCTAGGTCTACTGTCTGCGCGTCTCCACGCATTTCCAATGGAGTGAAGACCTAGAGCTAGCTCTAGACAAGAGATTCGGATGCAGCCTTACATACTGTTACGATCCCAGTTGATCCGAATCCTTTTGTGTCTCCCTGAAAAGGTACGTGTGGAATTTATGCACGTTCCAAAAACCTATAAAAGACTCCGTAGTCATTGATTTCGCTCTCAGTCAGTGCCTATATGCTTTTAGCATGTGCGTTTCGAAATAGCCGGCGTTGGGTCAGCACCTCCTTGTCGTCTACGCCTCGATTACTGATGCACCGTGGCCAAGGCTGACACCGCTGAGGGACCGTGGACCCTGGAGTGTCGTGGCTCCATGTGGAAGCCGAATCTCGGGGA